GTATAAATAAGGGGAGAGAGGACACGGAAGAAAAATAAAATAATAAACAGCGACGACGACGATGGAGATAGGAGAACGGGGGAAGCTCCTCGGGAGCCAATCAGCAGTGACGCGGCGGCCTGGCCGAGGCCTGGCGCACGGAACGGACCCGCCTGAGCCTAAATAAATTGGAGTTATACCAGTCGTGGTCTGGCGCAGCGCCGGCGGCAAACCTGATCGAGGAGAGGGACTTGGAGGGACTCGGAGAGGGAGAGGTTGAGGTGGTGCAGCAAGGCATCCAGAGAAAGGGATGGGGGTGGGGAGCACCGCGCTGCTGCAGGCCGGGCGTTAAGAGCCAATAAAAGCACACGATTACCCCGGAGAGTTGACCATATCCGACCCGCTGCAGTTCAGTATACCGCCCGCCCTGAGCCCAGCAGCGCCGCCGCTACACTGGCCGACACACACCACAACACTGGTGCGCCGCGGCCCCCGCATATTTCCATATTCCAAAAGGGATTATTGGGGTGCTTTGCAGCGGGGCGCTGCCCGGCGCTGCCCGGCGCTGCCGGCCGTGATCATGATGCTGATGATGATGATGACGTGTGGGCTTAGTAGCCGCCTCGGCCTCGCCCCGGAGCACAACACCCACCCTAGCCGCGCCTCGACGCGCTCAGCCCGACGGGATCGCGTGGCTCACGGGGGGCGTCGGATTGCGCGGCGGCGGCGCCGACTCGGCTGCCCGACGACCTCCGCCGCGTTCCCCTTCTGCGCTCCAATCTGAATCCCGGTCGGCGCGGCTCGTCCTACGGCCAATTACAACAATAATTGCGCGCGGAGCACCTATGTGTGCTGTGCTGGGGCCCGCGGAGGCGGCGGGGGCCGGGGGCTGTGGACCACCCCGGGAGTGTTGCACGTTGTTGACGACGACACAGGGCGAAATGCAAGGCGTGCCACAGGCCGTGCCTCCTCGGCCTCAGGGCGTTGCCACAGGATGAGCTACAAGCCGTGCCTCAGGGTGTGCCACAGGCCGTGCTACAGGCCGTGCCTCAGGCCGTGCCTCAGGCCGTGCTTCAGGCCGTGCTTCAGGGCGTCCTTCAGGGCGTGCTTCAGGGCGTGCCACGGGCGCTCCTCGAGGTCGTTACCGCGGCCGCCTCGCACGGGTCGCCCGCGATAACTCTTCACGCCGCTGCCGCCCGCTGCCGGGAGGCGCGCGCAGCGGGAGGAGTCAGGGGATGTCGGGCCGCGGACCAATATCCAAACTTTAAAACTTTATGAGGGCCGCGTTTAGGGTGGGAGGCGTGGGAGGTGGGGGCGGGGGGGAAGCGGGACATGAAGAGGAGAGGGGATCGATGTGTCCAAAGGGGAGACACTTGTTACAGGGATACGTACTCCACTGGAGCTGCGTCCGGGCGCGCCGTATCCACTCACTGCACCGTCACACTACACTCACTGCACACACACACACACAAGAAAAACGCGCGCGCGCGGGCGCGCGCACACGCACAGACGAGCACACTCAGCACACGCACTAGCGCACACACGAGCACCACACGTAGCGCACACACACGCGCGCACGCACGCACGCACGCGCACACACGCGCGTTGCCTGGCGCGGGGCGGGGCGGGGCGCGAGGCGCGGGGTCGCGCGAGGGGACTGGCCTCTAGGGCGCGGGGCGCTTGAACGGTCCCGTCGACCTGACCTGGGCCCGGGGCGCGGAGCGACTGGCCGGTGTGTGCTGCGCGCGGGGCACGGCTGGGGGCGGC